CTGACAATCTTACAGGAGCTCCCTTGTACATAACTAACTGCTTTTCTCTTGCTCTTTGTAGACTTCTCTCTTTGTCTTTAATCTTTCCCATTGTCTTGATGTGGGTCCCTTTGGGTTTATCTTGTTTGGTAGTCTGCACTACCTGGGCTTGTAAGTCTATTTCCTTCACCAGGTTATGAAACTTTTCTGTAATTATGTCTTCAAATAGGTTTTCAATTCCTTGCTCTCTCTCTTCTCCTTCTGGTACCCCTATGATGTGAATGCTGTTACACTTGATGTTGTCCTAGAGGCCCATTAAACTTTCCTCATTTTTGAAGGGTTCTTTTTTTTTATGCTTCTCTGATGGACATTTTCAGCTACCTTATCCTCCAAATTGCTGATTCGATCCTTTGTTTCATTTAATCTACTGTTGGCTCCCTCTAATGTATTCTTTGTTTCAGCTATTGTATTCTTCATTTCTGGCTGGGTCTTTTTTATGTTTTTTTCTCTTGTATGTTGTTAATTATAGGACTTCTGTTCAGCTAGACTTCTGGTGATTCTCAGTGATAGCTGTTTTGTAGTTTAGTTGTAATTTTGAGGTGGTTGTGGGAGGAGGCGAGCACAGCATTTACATAAACTTCCGTCTTGACTGGAAGCCCCACATCCATGTAAATTTTCAGTTCTTTGATTTCCTCTACTTTAATGCTCTACAATTCCTCTCCACTTCAGACACCCACTTGAGACCCTGGACTATGCTGTTAACTAGAACCTCTGAAAAAACAAAACCAGATATTCATTCTCTGTCCTTTCAAGCTTATCAAGACCTTGAGCCCTCAAACTTGACTTTCTTTCTATGTCAACACTTGATGTCTGATACGTGCATCCTTACTTCAACTCTTTCTTTGCCAACATCCTCAAATCCTTTGCCATGTGTCCTCATATAAGTCCATCAAGACTCCAGCCTAGATCATTCCAACAGTCTTGCTTCTTTGGTTCTCTGCCTGAACTGTTTAGTACCAAAGGGAAAAGGAAATCACAGAGCCACAGAAATAGGCACTATTACCAAAGATACAATCTTTGTATATTTCTCTTCTTGATCTCCTGCTGTCTTCCACTGTGGTTATTTCAAGTCATCTCCATTCTCCTAAAATTCTTATCTCACCAACTCCCCCAGCAGACTGAGCACACAACCTTATCTCCTACATCACGGGAAAATAGGTTCCATCAGATAAGGTATCCCCTCACCTTACAGCTACTAACCAGCTACACATTTGCCCTTCTCTCCATCATCATTTTCCTGTCCTCTCCTGTCACAGTACAACAGGGGTCCCTCCTCCTGTCCCGAGCAATTCTCCCTGGAACACGTCCCCCCAGCTTTCACAGTCTTACAGTATCCATTTACTCTCAGGCTCTCTCTTCACCCTCTCCCTGCATTTTGTGTTCTTCCCATTAGTACTGAAATATGGTCAAGATTGATAACTTAAAAATAAAACATTTTCTCAACCCTACATACCATACCCTCAGATCTACCCTTCTTCACCATGAAGCTTTTTTTTTTTAAAGATTTTTATTGGGGAATTGGGGGAAGGGGAACAGAAAAGTTGCTGTCCTTTTGTTCTTCAGTCTAGTTGTGGAGGACGTTGCTTCACTGCCCCAAGTTGGCACCATCATTGCGTTCTTCCCAGGTAAGGCAGCTTCTGGATGGCTGCTCACTGCGGCTGCTGGCCACTCACGCTGGCTGCTGGGTACACGTGGTAGCCATGGCAACCCACTGCAGCAGGGACTGCAGCCTATGCTGTCGCCGGCGACTCACGGCAGCCCAGCTCCAGGTCGAGCTGTTGTTCAGCATCTTAGCTGTAGAGGGCAGTGTCACTGGCCCGCATATGTGGGATCCGAACCGGGGCCCTCTGGGGTCCCAAGCCAGCTCTTCACCAACGTGCCATTCGGCCAGCCCACCATGAAGCTTCTTGACAGACTTACTTTCACCTTCTGCCTCCTTACCCACTTTCTCACTACAAATTGTCTTCAGGACTTACCAGACTTTCAGCAATGTCACCAGTGACCTCTGGGACATGAAATCTAAAGGGCACTGTATGGCCCTTATCTTTTTCTACTTCTTTGCACCATTTGACACTGATAACCACTCCTTCCTACCTGAAGTCCTCTCTTCTTTTAGCTTCCATGATACCACACTCTCCTTGTTTTCCTCCTTCCTTACAATTTATTCTACTTTGAGGGCTTCTCTTCCCCTGCCTGTTCCTTAAATATTAATGTTCTTTGTTATTCAGTTACTAAAACTATTTCAGCTATCTATTATTGCAGAAAAAACTACCCCAAAACTTCGTGGCCTAAAACAACAATTATTCTCTTAGGATTCTAATATTGTGAGTCAGAAATTCAGGCAGGGCTGTGCAGGGCAACTATTCTGCTCCATATGGCATAGGCTGGGGCTACTTGATGATATTCAGCTATTGGCTGGGCTGGGCTGGAATTTCCAAGATGTCTTCACCCACCTGCCTGGAATTTTGGCAGGCATAACCAGAAAGCTGACGCCCTATCCCTTTCCATGTAGTCTCAGGCTTCTCCACATGGTTTCTCCAGCAAGGTTGTCAGTCATCTCACATGGCAGGTCAGGGATCCAAGAATAAGTCCTCCAAGAGATGGGAAGAGAAATCTTAGAGCCTGAGCCTGCAGTATGGCACTGCAGTACTTCTGCCTCGTACTATTGATCAACTAGTCATAAGCCCACCCAGTCTTAAGGGAAGGAGACATAGACCACATCTCTCAATGGAAAGAGGAATCCAAGAATTTGTGGCCATCATCAATCTTCCACAGCTTTCTTCTCAACAAAAACCAGTCTCTACACAGTCACCATCATCTTCCTCCTCAATTACTTCAATGCCTTCCTAACTGGTCTCCTTGCTCCCATGTTGCCCCTTCCATCCCATTATCTACAATGAATTCAGAGCAACCTTTCAATAATGTATATCACATCACATCTCTTTCCTGACTAAACAGTTTCCCATTTCCATGACTAGACTCCTTAGCATGGTCAACTAGGTCCTTTGTGAATTGTCACTGCTGATACCAACACCTTAACCTCTCACCACTTCTTATATTCTATACTCCACAATATTGATGTCCCCAAGCATGCCATGCATTCTTTTTATCTCCAAGCCTTTGTACATTCTGTTCCCTTTGGAATACTCTTCTACCCAGCACTTCCCATGCCCCATCTCTTATGGGTGAGTGCAAGTGTGCACGCATGCACTCCCGTGCGCGCGCGCACACACACACACACACACACACACACACACACACACACTTTTCACTTTTGCCCTCCTTCAGATCTTGACTTAGACAAGTGGTTCTCAAAATGTGGTCCCAGAGCAAGTAGCATCAACATCAACTGGGAATTTGTTAGAAATGCAAATTCTCAGGCCCCACCCCAGACCTACTGAATCAGAAATTCAAGAGATGGGGCCCAGAAATATCTATTTTAACAATCCCCCCCCCAGGTGATTCTAGTGCATGGTAAAGTCTGAGAAACACTGCTTTAGACAACACTTTCTCCAGGCAGCTTTCCTTGATCTACATCTTTCACTATCCAACTACTGGGATATGGATCTCTGCTATGTGTTTCCACTATCCCTCGTTCTTCCCCTGATCAAATCCTTATCACAGGGCAGTGCAATTGCCTACTTACAAGTACTTGTTTAACCCCACTGGGGTCTCTTTGAGCTCCCATCGGCAGGGACTGTATCTTATTTATTGCTCTATCCCCAGCATTTACATAATGACTGTCACAATAGTAGCTCAACATAGAGTGGTGAAGCCAAGATTCAAACCCAAGTGTGCATCACAATCTTTTTGAAAAGTAGATGACAAGCACTGAAAACAAGAGTTGTAACGCATAGAGAATATTATTAGTCAGCAGCTTCAAGTAAATGTTTTGATTCTTGCGTAATAGAAAGGAGACACTAAGTGGATACAGTGCCTACAAAAGATTTTAATAAAATCCCAAAAGGAAAAGATATGCACTGTTGAATCAACCTAAAACCCTGATATGGACCACTTGACTGTAGCCCTGAAGTCAAATAAACAAAATTCATCTCCTTCCCATTTCTGCATGGCCACTTCATCCATTACTTGCATTTTAATACATGCTGTCTAACTGAGTTTACTGGAATTTCTAAAATGCCACTGAATCTTTGGAAATTTGGCAGAAAAGAAGAATCTGGGTCATGCAACTGTGAAATCTAAATAAGGCATAATTAGCATGTCCATCAACTTTCAGAGAAGTGATGCTAGTTTGCAAACTATTCATTAATTCTGCGCAGCAACAGCAACTGTGTAGAATGTAGACACCAAGCTGAAGATGAGAGGCTCAGTGTAGTGCTTACCAGGAGTGCTATTGGTGATATGTAGGAATAAACTGCTTCTATTTTCTGCATGGAAAGATATGACTATTTAAGAATTTGGGGCCGGAATTATCATAGAGTAGCAGTATAATTACTGACTCACAGCCCTTTCAAATGTAACCTTGTGACTAGCAAAATACCCTTCAAATTATGGAAAACATTTCATGAATCACTAGAAAAGGTGGAGAAATGACCCTTCACATTAGAAATAAAACAGCAAAATGGCTACATCTGAAAATCAGAAGAGACCTGAATTCAAGTCCCAAGTCCTAACTAGCCCTGTGACCTACTTAACATTTCTGTACCTCACCTGTAAAATGTGGTAATAATACCTATTCAGAATGTTGTTTTGAGGATTAAATAAGAGAATGCACATATTCTGCGGGACATAAAGCTAATATGGAAAGTAGCTATTGTTTCTATTCTTCCTAGTCAAAATTAGGCAGTGATATCAATAACCAAGTGGACTATAAAAAACACTATGGTGGTTCCTCAAAAAATTAAAAATAAAACTACCATATGATCCAGAACACTACTTCTGGATATAATATCCAAAAGACTTGAAAGCAGGGTTTTCAAAAGCTATTTGTAGCATCCTCCATGGCGGGACAGCAGGTAGAGGTGGACAGAGGGATCATGGAAGGAGGCAGCCATACCCTGAGAGTCTCCACAGCCCTGAGCTGTCTCCCAGGCCTCTATTTGCAGGTACAGAAGATCCAAGCTGGCCACAGCACACCTGGCCTGAGTTTTATAAATGTGTCATAAAATCTGGGGATATAAGCAGTCCGAATGCACATGTTTTGATGCAGTATTATGACCTGAAAGCCTCAACAATTATCTGGACTGCAAATGATGCAAGATTTATGTGATGGGCAACTAGAGGGGACAGAAATCGGCTCATCAGAAATAATGTTTATACCAGAGAAGATCAAAGGTGGAATCCATACAGCAGCTACCCAAACTGCAGGGAGTGTGTGTCTGTTGATGCAGGTCTCGATGCCCTGTGTTCTCTTTGCTGCTTCTCAATCAGAACTTTGTTTGAAAGGTGAAACTAATGCTGAAATGGCACCACAGATCAATTACACAGTGATGGTTTTCAAGCCAATTGTTGAAATTTTTGGTTTCAAATTTAATTGTGACATTAAAATGAGAGGCTATTACCCAAAAGGGAGTGGTGAAGTGATTGTCCAAATGTCACCAGTTAAGCAATTGAACCCAATAAATTTAACTAACCATGTCTCTGTGACTAAGATGTATGAAAGAGCCTTTGTTGCTGGTGTTTTGCCATTTACAGTAGCAAAAGAAATGGTGGCCGCAGCTGTAAGATGCATCAGAAAAAAGATTAGGTATCTGTATGTTAACATCCAGCCTGTTCAGGAATCTGAAGACCAAGCCTTTGACAATGGAAATGGAATAATCATTATTGCTGAGACATCCACTGGCTGTTTGCTGGCTGGATGATCGCTTGGTAAACGAGGTGTAAATGCAGACAAGGTTGGAATTGAAGCTGCCAAAATGCTATTAGCAAATCTTAGACATGGTGGTGCCGTGGATGAGAATCTGCAAGACCAACTAATCATTTTCATACCATTATCCAGTGGAGTTTCCAGAATAAAAACAGGACCAGTTACGCTCCATACACAAACAGCTATACATTTTGCTGAACAACTAGCAAAGGCTAAATTTACTGTGAAGAAATCAGGAAATGAAGATGATGCTTCTAAAGACACTTATATTATTGAGTGCCAGTATTTATTGGGATGATAAATCCAAATCTATAGGGTATTTACCTTTTAAATGATACCTCAGTGATGTATTGCACTAATTCATTTCATAACTACTACAAAACAAATAAGAAGTAACTTATTGAAGGACCTGACAAATTTGGAGATGAAGTACAGAGTGTTCTAGATTTACTGAGAATGCTTCATCAAACTAATCTCACTTTGAATACCTTCTGAGATGCAGACAATGAAATATAAGAGTTGGTGGACATGTCTGATAGCTGATTTCAATATTAAAGTATTGATATAAAATTGTTTCAAAAGTTACTTATACACCTGTGTCATGGCAGCATTATTCACACTAGCCAAGAGATGGAAGCAGGGCCGGCCGAGTGGCGCGATGGTTAAGAACTGGCTTGGGACACCAGAGGGCCCCGGTTTGGATCCACATATGAGGGCCAGTGAAGCAACGTCCTCCACAACTAGACTGAAGAACAAAACGACAGCAACTTGTCTGTTTCCCTTCCCCCAATTCCCCAGCACTGTTCCCGTCCCCCCAATTCCCCAGTAAAAATCTTTAAAAAAAAAATAAAGAGATGGAAGCAACCCAGATGTCCATTGATGGATAAACTGATAAAATGTAGTATATCCATACAATGGAATATTATTTGCCTTAAAAGGGAAGGAAATTCCATCACATGCTACAACATGGATGCACCGTGAGAATAATATGCTAAGAACATAAGCCAGTCACAAAAAGAAAAATGCTGTATAATCCCACTTACATGAGCTATATAAAGTAGTCAAACTCATCGAAGCAGAAAGTAGAATGTTGGGGAAGGGAGAAGTGGAAAGTTGTTATTTAATGGGTATAGAGTTTCAGTTTTGTAAGATGAAAAAATTCTGGAAATCTGTCACACAACAATGTGAATATACTTAATATGGTTGAACTGTACACTCAAAATGGTTACGAGTAAGATGGTAAATTTTAGGTTGTGTGGGTTTTTTAACACATTAAAAAAACTTTTTTTAAAGCTTTTATTGGTGAATTGGGGGAGGGGAACAGCCAAGTTGTTGTCCTTCAATCTTGGTTGTGGAGGGCATAGCTAGCTCAGCTGCAAGTCCAGTTGCCATCCAGCTGCCTGTTGGCAGCTTGCGGCTGCTTAGCTCAAGGTGCCATGTTCAATCGTATTGGGTTGTCAGAAAAGTCATGATGTATTTTTGCAACAAAAACCATAGAAAAAAATATGTCATGACTTTTCCAACAACCCAATAGTTGCAGGTGGGCATAGCCCACCATCCCATGTGGGAGTCGAACCGGAAACTTTGTTGCTAAGAGCTCAGGCTCTAACCACGGAGCCATCCGGCCACCCTTCGGCAGATCAGGGCAGCTGTTGTTAGAATCACGTGCTCTCACCAGGTGAGCCATCCTGCCACCTGTTGGCAGCTCAGAGGCAGCTCAGCTCGGGTGCAGCTCACTGGCCCACGTGGGAATCGAACTGGCGACATTGTTGCTCAGAACTCACGCTCTTAACCAACTCAGCTGACCTAACATTTTTTTTAATTAAAGAAAATGGACCCAATTTCCTCCCTTGTTCCCTCTATTACCATGTGTTCTTGCCCTTTTCCCCACTCTGTCTTAGCCCCCTTCACTCCCTCTTCCTCCTCTTCCACCTGTCTTTTGGTTCTCAAGCTTCCTGAGGGAGTTCTGTCCTCGGTTCTCACACTCCTGAGGGTTCCAGCCACTCCTTCAGCTTTACCAGCCACTTACACATTGATGACTGTTCACTGTTCTACCACTAGTCTCTAAAATAGGGCCTGGAGCTTAGTAGGCACTCAATAAATATTCATTAAGTAAATGAATGTCTAGATCTCTAGCCTCTACCCAACTGAAAGCTACAGAACTGTATTTTCCACCTATTCTTTGAACCTCCAGCTGACTGTCCCATAGTTCTCTCAAATTCAACATATCCAAAATTTAATTTATTTAACCTCTCCTAGGGGTAATAAAAAAGCTCCTCCTTATGATCTTGGTTAATATTGTCCTCAGTTCTCCCAACCCACCTTCATTGAATATCCAAACCCTATTGGTCTTCAACTAGAAATGTCTTGAAAATCTGGCCATTTCTCTCCTTCCCCAGGGCCTCCGCTTCTCTCAACTGGACTATTGCAGTAGTTTCTATCTCCATTTGCTCCTCCAAGAAGTACATTCTCCACACTAGTGCTAGATTTTTTCTTTCTACGGGGCAAGTCTCATTATGTAGCAACACTGCCTAAGCTTTAACCCCACTAGCCCTTCCATATGCCCTTGTCTCCTACAGAGTTCATTTCATAAACCCTTGTTGGACCAACAATGCCCCTGTAATCTGACTCCCGCCTATTCCACCAGTCCTTGCCCCCTGACCCCAAATCCCATACATTGCAGACACACTTCCCCTGGTGCACCAGGCCCTTCTCTAACTCCATGACTGTGTCCACACCACCCTCTGTGTGAACGCTTCACCATCGCCAACTTCTCCTCCTGGAAACAACTCATGCTTCATGTGTAATAAGTGAACACTCGACCAGGAGCAACATACAGCTATGATGGGAAAAAATTTCACCTTGCAAAAGTTCTCACCTTGTTCAATGATTAAACCAGCTTAGCTACTTGTTGCAGACTGCAATGTTTATACAAAGTTCAGATATCCACCAGGAAAAATAAAAGGGCAGGAAGTGTAGGCTTTGACTGGCAGTATTTAGAATTTAAATAGTCAATTCTATCGAAGTCAAAATAGCATAATGGTTAGGAGCCACACTTTGGGATTATCTGTAGCTGGATTGCTATTTCCTCAGTCTCTTCATCTCTCAAATAAGAATAGCAACTACCTCACAGAGTTGTCAAATTTTGGATGAGATGACATGTAACATGATTAACCCAATACCCGGCATAATGTAAGGCTTAATAAATGGCAGCTATTATTATTATCATAGAATCAATTTTGTCATTGTGCTATTTGGGCATGCGTTCTCACTAGCAGACTTCATTAACGTCTTTAGTACCACTCTACAATTCCACATGGACAGGAGAGTAAAAGGACTGAAATAATAGGTGCCATCCTCAACAACACAATAAAATGAAGGTTTATGATCCCATTGGGTAAGACTACACTGTGTGTGTGTGTGTGTGTGTGTGTGTGTGCATGTGTGTGTGTGTTTCCATATGAAACTTGAAGATTTATATACCTAATAATGTTGTTACATATGGTTAGTGCAATCTAATTATGCTCATTTGTTCTAATTACACAATTAAGTTTAATTACCCAGATCATTCAAATGAATGCATTTGTATTATTAGGAAAATAACTTTTAAAGAAACAATGTGATATATTTACTAAAAGCCCAACATTGTTCAGAACCAACAAGGCACTTCTAGAACATTCTTTTATTGTGCCCTGTGTATGACTAGGCCGAGTTGCAATCTGTAATTATTAAGTATATCTATTTTATTGCAAGCCACTTACCTTTATATTTTGTTTTGTTACGTTGTTTTTCAAATGTCCTTATCACTGGGGCATTTTGCAGATGTTCTTCCACTTCTAAAATCGGCTTTTTCTCAGAGCTGCTTTGGGAGCCACCCAGAAACACTCTTAACATCATCACTGGAGCCTCATGTTATTCAGCTTATGCTCTCTGCCCTTCAAGTACAGGAAAGTTTTGCAATTGTTTTCAGTATAATTTGGGTGACTTTGGGAACACAGCAGCCATAAGGCCAAAAATTAATGTTAGCTCATTCCCAGTATAGTCACATGTCCAAAAACAATGGAAAGAATGAACACAGACTTGAGGTGGTTATCTTTCTTGCATTCTTTCTCACTGAATTTTTTTATATTAGTTTCAGGTGTACAAAACAACATACTGATTAGATATTCACACCCCTCACAAAGTGATAACCCTCCTCCCCCAAGTCTACTACCCCTCTGACATCATATATAGCTGTTAAAATACCATTGACTATATTCCCTACACTGTAATTTACATCCCATTACTCTCTCTCTCTCTCTCTCTCTCTCTCTCTCTCTCTCTCTCTCTCTCTATATATATATATATATATATATATATATATATATATATATATATTCATGATGTATTTTTTCTATGTTTTTTGTTGCAAAAATGGATCATGACTTTTCCAACAACCCAATATATATATATTTAACTATAGTTGACATTCAATATTATTCTACTTCAGCTTCAGGTGTACAGCGCAGCAGTCAGGCATCTACACAATCTATGAAGTGATCCCCCTGACAAGTCCAGTGCCCATCTGACATCCTACATGATCTTTACAACATTACTGATTATATTCCCCATACTGTATTTCACATCCCTGTGACTATTTTGTGACTACCAATTTATACTTTCTAATCCCTTCACCTTCTCCCCCACCCCCCAGCCCCACCTCCCATCTCAGTGAATTTTTAAACCCTGTGCAAATGCAACATAACCCAGTGATCCTTTTATAAATTGTGTGTAGTACCATAGGAAGAGTAGAAACAATTTCTTTCTGTTCACACATGAAAGAAAATGTAATTCCTTTATGAAGAGTATTCTCAGCAGATTTCCTAGCTCTGTTCTTATAATCTTTGACATATGATGTAGGTCAACTAATTCATAGTTTAATAAGCAGAACAGAATCACCTACAGCCTAACTGTTAGGGAGCTGAGCATATATGTATCAAGAGATTCAAATGGGGCATTCAAGACTTTGTTTTCCACAGGGGACCCATGGTGCACCATCCTGAATGTCAGCTACAACTTCTCAGAAGGACTCCTCCGTCAACTTGGCTCATTCTTTTCACGCACCATTTCACACTTTATCTTCTCAATCTATTGTAAGGTTTCATCCAAGATGACTATTCTGTTACTTTTGCTCTCTCACTGTTGGGCCGGCGGAGTGGCTCAGTTGGTTAAGAGCTCGCTCAAGAGTGTGAGCTCTGAGCAACAGTGGTTCGCGTCCTGCCCGAGCTGAGCAGCCGCTGAGCTGCCAACAGGTAGCAGGATAGCTCAGCTAAAAA